GTTCTGTATTTTCTTTGAAATATTTCCAGAGTTGTTTCAATCAGTTGTGGTAAGGTTATAGACAGAGAAACAGCTGCCTTTGAAAGAAGAATACATAATTTACAGTTCCCAAGAGGAGGGGGCGTGCCGTAAATTCAGGGCCAGATGGGAAAGTTCCTGGGTTAGTCTTGGGAAAGCATGGCCTGGAGGTTGTATTGTGGTCTCCCTGGGAAGAGCTTGGCAGAGCAAGACAAGCGGTTTAAGATTGGCCAGTTTGAATGATTTCAGTGTCCTCAGGCATAGAATGGTCCTAGTTCAGTACCTGGCCCTGGGGTAATGATGTAAGCGGGAGGGGGTGGGGGGAAGCATTGGCTTGCTGTGTGAGAGTTAAAGGGGATGGTTGGGGACTAGACTTTGGATTTGATGGCTTGCATCTGAAAGAGGAGTTAGTTGTTTGCTATATGTAGGATTAATTAGCCCTGGAAGGGGCACTCTTTCTAGGCAGCCAGGCCCCTAGTGTGTCAAAATAGCATAAGATATAGAAAAAAGAATGTGATAACTACACAGGTGTATATTTTTATATATCTGTTGTGTGAAAACTACATCTCAATATAGCTGATTTGAAAAGTTAAAAAAATAGTGAAAGATAATGAGCACATGAAATTACTTAAAACAAGCTAGGAAAATTCATCCTCAAATGCATTAAAAGTTTTAAAATAATACCTGAATGTATAAAAGGACAAGAGCAGCATTGAATATTTAACCATTATAAGTTCATTCAAGCAGTTCCCTTTTTTTCTTTTCTGTGCCGTGACCATTTTCATTTCCTTAATACAAAAAAAGAAAGGGGGCTTTTTCAGTTCTTCAGTGTCTGGGGCTCCTTTGCTGTTTTTTTAAGGCTGAAAAATAAAAGTTTTTGTTAACTTGTCCTTTAATTTTTTTAGTGACAGAGATCAATAGTGCATATAGTATAATATGAAATCAGTTTCACAAGTTTGTCCTTATATCTAGTAGAAATTTGCCTTCTTGTAACTTGTCTCCCTTGCTGGACTCAGGAATTTTAATTGCCCACTGGAGTGACATAGGATTCCTCTAATCCTTCTTCCAAGTAACTTCTCTTCAAATATTTGAAGATGACAGTCATTTCCCCTTAAATTTGTTTATTTGAATTCCAGGAAAGGAATCAAGTTCATTCCTTTCCTAACTTCTCTAAATCACTTCTCCCTATTATTTTGTTTCTATTTTTTGTTTCGCTGATTTTTCTTTATTTCTAATATCCAGCATAAAAGCATCAAACCTGTATTTTCATTGATTTGGTCCACACTTGTATGTGTTCATGTGTGTGTGAGGGAGGAAAAAGGAGGAAGGATGGGAGGTGGGGGAAATGTGCATGCAGGAGAGCATGACATATATGTGAAGTTAGGGGTCAGACACACCTGCAGAATTAATTCTAGCTCATTCTCAGTGACTTTGAGCGAATTACTTAATTTCTTTGAGCCTCAGTTTCTTGACTTGAAGACGATAATAATGCTGATTCTCATGTGAGGATAAGAGGTGCATATGAATTACCTTATAGGTCTAGCACATGGTAAGCACTCAATGCAGAAGAGCTCCAGTGTAGAATACAGTGTAGGTGAAGCTGTCATCTGTGGATTCACCAACTCCAGTACTAGCCTAAAACACAAACTCTGTGGGGCAATCACCGTGCAATGCCTTAACATCAAGAGCCACAAGCGCGAGTAGAATCAAAACTAGAGGAAGGCCCGTGAGAAGAGCAGCTTCCCAGGCAGTGGCATGGTAGGCATGGTAGGTTAGTGGCATTATCTTAGTACTGGTATGTAAAGAAGAACCTGTTACAAATTACCAATGGTAACACACCGAAAGATTTTATTTGTATATTTCAAGTTCTCCTGGACAAATATATTAGATTATAACATTTTTTTAATGACATTGTGTCAGATGATGTATGACATGGACAAAGGGGGACCCCCCAACAAAGTGGAATTGTCTTCTGGAAGGTAGTCCCCATATAGAACAGGCTTCCCCCACTAGCTAGGTGAGTGTTCTAGGAACCCATCTGTATCAGTGTACCAGATGGCTTGTTGTGAGAGGCTGTGTTCAGCTTAAGTGAATTTTTTTTTTGAAGTCTCTTTTAACACGTCTGCCCATTTCATGATGGGTGATTTACAAGCTTACCCGTCCACACCATGCTGTGTTAAACAGATTTTGACCAAAAGCAGCATGACCCGGTGCCCCACCCTCCCTATTCACCCATTCTCACCCTGAGCGACTTTTCTTTTTGTTTCCCCAGATGAAAAAAGTCCTCAAAGGGAAACATTTTGTAGATGTGGAAGAGGTGAAACAAAAAACAGCAAAAGCTCTAAAAGGCATCAAAATTAACAAGTTCAAAAATTGTTTTGAGCAGTGGAAAAAATGTCTTGATGGGGTATTGTATCAAATGGAGAGTACTTTGAAGGTGACTGAAGTTTAAACGTGTGAGAATAAATACACAATTTTTATAAATAAATTTCAGGTTTTTGGGGTCCCCTTCATATGTTCTAGGAAATCACCCCCTGGAAATACTAATCTAGATTAACGTCCATATTGCAGCCCTGTGCATGGTGCCCCCCCACCACACACACACACACACTCACACCATGGGTCAACGTCAGCAAGCTTGTTGAGCATGGAGTGGATGATTTTTGTGTGTTCTGTAAGATTCTTTATGTAAATTCACTTTTAGGAACCTTGGCTGGGCAGCATAACCAGGACAAAGCAATGTCTGCATCAGGTTTCCTCAAATAGGAATCAATGGAAGACTTCCATGTCCACCACCGTCAGGCTCTTGCTTCTCAAGAAACCACCCAACTCTTGTTTTTTAATTAACTCTGTTTAAATATGACTTATTAACTAAAATTAAAAATAATCATATGTATGATTTATAAAGCAATATTATTAAGTACTAAATCTTGCTATAATTGATAGCATTCATCATTTGCAGTCTTTTTATTTTTGTTTCTTTCTGATCCAATAGACATATTCTTCTCTTTTAGATCAGGAAAGAATTGACTGGATCGCATTATAGGTGTATCTCAACTTTTGAAGAAAACACCAAATTATTTTTCAAATTGTGTCATTTTGCATTACCACCAGCATGCATAAGACTTCCACTGCCTCTACATCCCTGTCTACACTTGGTATTGTCTTCTTTATTCAGTATTAGCCACACTGATAGGTATACAACATCATCTCTTTGTGGTTTTAATGTACATTTCTCTAATAACTAATGATGTTGAGCATCTCTTGATGTCATTATTTGCAAACCATATCTTTTCTGGTGAAGTATCTCTTCAGATTTTTTGCCCACTTTTAAAATTGCATTGTTTGTTTTCTTAATGAGTTTTAAAAGTGTTCTGGGTATAATTTATTTATTCTATTTATTTGTGCAATTATTTTCTCTCACTCTGTGGCTTGTCTTTTCATTCTCTTAACAGTGTCTTTTGAAGAACAGAAGTTTTTAATTTTGGAGTCCAAATTGTTAGTTATTTTATGGATTATGCTATAGATGTCCTAAGATATTTTTACCTGATGTAAGGCCATAAAGCTTCCTTACAGAAATTTTATAGTTTTAGGTGTTACATTTAGGTAACAATCTCCCAATCTCCCTCTTCCTCCCTCCCTCTCTCCCTCCCTCCCCCTTTCTCCTCCTGCCTCCCTCCCTGCCCTCTCTTCTGCATTTCTCTGGGACTCTCTAGGAGGGTTTCCCTTCCTGCAGCACAGTCACAGGTTGGTTCATCACATTTGTGTCCTGTGTCTTAAAGACCAGTCTTTGTGACCTGATGCCCAGTGTTTAAATATGCTTTCATGTCCTTTGTGTGTGTCTTGGTTGTTTCAGGAAGTTGGGAAAATATGGTCTCTCTTACTCAGTCTTGGCTGGAAGTTAGAAATCATGCCTTTTAATTTTGTCTAATTTTCTACTGAACAAACATTTAAAATCTTAAAAGAAAAATTCATCAGTGCCTACTTTAATGGCTTTTGTCTTTGGTGTCATGCTTAGAAACACTTCCATGAAGGCTTATAAAAATATTTACCTATACTTTTTCAAGTATTTTGTCTTATTTTTGTATTCAAATAGTTTATTAATATGGAACACAGTACTATAGGCAATTTGAAAAATAGCTAAAATGGAGGGGGAAACATTTGTATTTTCATCACTAAACACAATGCCAATACACATATTAATGTATTTCCTGTCATGAGTTTTTCTGCTCCCGTGTTATTTTATACAGGTGTAACCCTGGTGTATATGCCATCTACTATGTTCATCCAATGCATGGTATCATCAGCACTTTCATGTTGCCACATAATCTTCATAATCACATTTTAATGGCTGAATTATATTTCATCAAATGATATTTTGCAGTTATGCTACTTTTACCTGTATGGTTAAACACTATAGTTATTTCTCAAACAGACAATATGAAACAGTTTTCAGGCAGGGCATTTTCAGGGAAACCTTAATCCTGCCTCCTTCCACGCACCCCTGTGCCTGTGAGGCCAGAGATGCAGATACGGTCCTCTCCATTTGGCATTGCTTCCCTCCCCAGGCCCATGCCAGTATATTAAAAAAAAAAAATGCCTGTATGAAAATTAGAGTGAAATAAAAACATCAGTTTCTTAATAGTTTAGTGCCAGGGGTATCCAACCTTTGGCATCTCTGGGCCACACTGGAAGAAGAGTTGCCTTGGGCCACACATTAAATACACAAACACTAATGAAAACTGATGAGGAAAAAAAGCTTTTAAGTAAATTTATGATTTTGTGTTGAGCCACATTCATAGACTTCCTGGGCCGTATGCAGCCTGTGGGCCATGGGTCGGATACCCCTGGGTCCGTTCCTCATTACTCATATAATTATAAGTAGAAGGACTTTTTTAAAAGCTTATAATTTATATTTTCCTATGTACTAACTTGACATCTCAGTTATTTTCTAATTATTATTTGTGCTTGGTTGTTTTTAGGGCAGTTCCTGCTCAAGTCAAACACAGCACAAAACAGAATTCTTTGTCAGTACCACCGAAAGGTCAAGGTAAGGTCCACCATGCTGAAGAAAATGGTAATGTGTATGTTATATAAATGTGTATAAGCTGATACATTTAATGCCACTGTCCTCTAACCACAGGGGACTTATTTCCTGGAACCAAGAAAAAATTTTAATGTACATGAAAGTTTATTTCCTTTGGAAAATTCCTTGAGTGTATGTGGGTTCCTGGGTGTAAGGGCATTTCTCCTATGCTGAGAGCTCCTTGAGAGCAGGGCCATCTCGTTGCACACAGAACTCCCAGAGCTCAGCCCATGAGCTGGTATAGCAGGTGTCAACTGAAATCACAGTGTTGGCTGAAGCAGAACGACATGTATTTTCAGTGAGAGAACATATACATCCACATAATCTGTACACACGTGTGCATGCACAGACACGCAGCACACGTGGGGAGAGGGTGAGGGCGTGAGGGGATTTGCTTACACATTTCTTTGACCTGTTTCTTCCCATACCCACTTAAAAAGAAACATAAGAAAAACCATTTCCCCTCCACATGATTTTTAAAATGAAAATCATGATTTAACAGGAGCTCCGAGCCTTTCAGAAAAGCAGAAGGTAGAGTTACAGTCCTTTCTGAATAAAGAATAATAAACGTTTGGCACAGTAAAGAGAGAACTCTGACTTCTGGGAGAAATTCAAGTCTTTCCCCTGCCCCCACATAATTGACTTTCACACAGAAAAACAGTGTCTTTGTTGATGCACAATTTGGCTTCCTTAATGGAATGTGTAAGTTTTAGTGAATGGGGTGAACTTACTGTAAAGAGCCTTACCTGGTGATAACACTCTTTGATCGCTCTACCAAGGGAAAAGGGTAATGTCATAACTATTAAGAACGTGGAGTCTGGATTTGAAACCCAGTTCTACCACTGAATTTCGTAACCTTAGATACACACTTGACCTAAGCTTTCTCATCTATAAATCTATAAAGTGAAGATAATAAGTCCTACCCCACAGGTCATGTGGAGATTAAAGGGGTAAATAGATGCGAATCACCCAGCGGATTGTTAATGGCATAGTAGGCACTTACAAGATGATGGTGGCTATTGTTCTTAACAGTTGTGGCTAATACCTGGGCTTGCTCCTTGTGTGGAGGCTAATGTAATGAGCTGGACTTGGCTTTCTCCCTCTTGGAATGCCTACTGGTCTTAGAAGGTCACGCATGATCCACGGAGACCCATGGGAAGTAAACAGAGCAGACCACAGCTTGGTTCTTATCCAGACATTTGGCCAAGGGGAGGGTAAAAGTTTCTGAGATTCATACAAGATCCAGTCTCAAATACCAGAGCAAGAAAGGAGATGGGACTGAGAAAGAGGACAGTAAACCCTTATCTAGAAATAAAAAGTGTGGATTTCCTATTAATATTTTCTGGTATGTGCCTGTATCTTTGGAAGGTTTCTGCAGTACTGGGTTTGGTCCCTAGCTGATCTCACCTTCCTCATCTGAGCAAGGAAGGAGAGGTGTGACTGCTTAGAAGAAAGAGTATTGGGACAAATGTAGAAAAGCTGGGCTCCTGTCCCAGATCTGCCTCCAACTGGCTGTGGAAACTCAGACAAGTTATTTTGCCCCTAAGCCTCAGCTTCCCTATTAGTAAAGCCAATATTACTAGACATTTTTTAAGCTCTGAAAGGTTGTGAATCTGTGTAACTAAACAATGAGCTACTTGGTTTCTGGCTAATACAGGGAAGTAAAAAAAAAAAACCAAACATGTCACCACTCACACATCCTGCCTACTTTGCTTCTCATCAAGGTTGATTTTATTTTGTTTTTGTGCCTTCCTCTCTGAGCTGTTGCATATGTTTAGTTAACTCCATTGACTTGGTGAGAATATAAGACACCTTCAAGCCTAGCTAGGATTTTATTAGCTCTAGTGAATTCTTCATCACTCACTTCTGGGACAAAGGCTACTCAAGCCCCAACTCAAGATATTGACAGAGAGAGAGACAGAGAGAGAGAGAGAGAGAGAGAGAGTGAGAGAGAGAGAGAGAGAGAACAGCTAAAAGAGCTAAATTAGTCAGGTGCCTTCAGTGTTATAGTCATTCTACCTACCACTTTACACCCTTTGTTTCATTTTATCTTAATAGTAAGGTGGGTATAACCTGTGTTTTGAAGGTTCAGGTACTTTTACCAAGATTGCCAACTGTTAAGTGACTAAGCTGAGATTTGAACCTAGATCAATCAAAATCCAAAACTCACTGTTGGTCCCCAGTATCACACTGTAAATTTATAGGGAATATTTATAGTCTACTTTTAGATCATTTCCCTTTCTTCTCTGGTCAAACATATTGTGCTTAATTACATATATGAATATTTAAAACCATTTTGAACCAAAAAAGGCAGGAATTAGAATTTACATCATGATAAATTATATCAGTAAGGAAAAACAGTATAGTACATGTGAAGCCTAAGAATCATCCAATTATTCATTAATTTACTCATTTGCCTGTCAAATGCTTTCTCTGTAGCCTGGATTCTATTAATATTTTTAACAAAGAAAAATACCAGATTTTTAAATTATGATATTGTTTATATTTCTGTCATCAAATATAATCATTTATGCAATGTGAGAAGTTTGCTGGGAACATGCCATTTCTTAATTAGATGGCTACCTATAAATTATGGTACTTTTGAATTTCAGACTTGTAAACATGCACACATATCATACCCATTGACGTACAGAATTCAGGTAGAACATCACCAGCAGAAGTGCGGGGCTTAAGAAAACGTAGTGCATCACATACTGTCTCCTAGTAAAATACCGCATTCAGTGATCACCAAGCCAATACTCACCAGGAGCTGTGTCAGGTGTCTGAGGGATCCAGAGACACATCGGAGAGTGCCTGCGCTTCTGCAGAACTGAATTCTGTTAGAACAGCAGGTATGTATGCAATGAACTGGAACAAAGCTTGGCAAATGCTGTATGAGAAGTGAGTGTGACAGACTTTGAGAACCAGGATGGAGGGACAGTTGATTAAGCCAGAATTTTGAGGCTGGTCAGGAAACAACGAAGCAGAGAGGAGATGACATTTGCTCAGGACAGTACCACATGTATAGAATTCAAGTAAGTGGAATTTAGGAGTCAAGGCTCATGCATTTGAAGCTAGAAAAGAACCAGAGGAAACTAATTAGAAATTCTAGTGCCCTTGACTTAAATGCTTTTTTAATTTTTAATTTCGAATGAAGACATTTAACATTATAGCTTCACTCTAACGATAATTCGTACTATATTAAAAGCTTTCCACTGTAGTTCGGCAACATCACCGTTCATGCCTGTGGGGAGGTATTCCATACAGACCCTTCAGAAGGCCATTAGACTTACTTCATTACAGTTGTCTGTCTTCTCATGCATTCAGGATTTGGGGACAAGATTTATGGTTTGCCCATAATTTCTCATTTTCAAATGAGAAGCCAATAGAAATATAAGGGTAAGTATTTTGTGTTGGAAATAGCAAATTGTAACAAGTGATAAACTCTGTTTTCGAGGGGAAATGGGTGTGAAACAATGAGATAGGGCCCACTACAGTTGTTCTAACTTTAAATTTGTTGAAGGAAAAGACAAAACCACCACAGTGATTGAAAATGCAAATGAATTTATTTATTTGCTAGATAAAGAAACAGACAAATGAGCAACTTGGCCAAATGCTTCTCTGACAGGAACAATTTATGTTTTTTATATGCCAGAAAGAAGTTCACTGTGAATATGCCATTTAAAGATTGAAGTTTGCACTTTGGAGGAAGCAGGGTGAATTTTAGTCCCCACACAGCTGGTTAAAACATGTCCCGCTGTTCATTGGTCAGGAAAGAGTCTTTGTGTCCGTCCAGGGAGGCTCTGTTGTACTGGACTCACTCAGACTCCTAGTCATGTGCCAGCATCACCATTTGGTTTTGCCATTTCCTCAGTGAGTCTGCAGTGGGTGGAAAGGTCTCCTCATACAGGCCTTCTGACGCTTCTCAGCTCTGTCATAACATTTGTGTTGTTTAAACATAGTTTTCAAATTGTGAGCACAATTTTTATTCAATGAGAGTCACAATAAATGGGGGTCAGAAGACAGCAGACACCGTGTTCTTAATGCCGCCCCCCCCCCCCCCCACCCTGCGGAACCAGTGCAGTCAGCTAAACACGCACTCACCGTCTGCTCCCACGGACTCTCAGAGCCCGCACACTGGCGCGCTGTGTGGCCAGAGCTCTGACCATCTGTCCTGTGAGTTCAGACTTGGATTTGTTTAAAAAACCCTGATTTCCTGATTGAATAAAATGCTTTTAAAATAAGTATGGCAGAGCCTACAAATATATTCCTATGTCTTACAGACATGAAAATATATATCTTACATACATAAGCATTTTGGTATTAGTGAAGGCAGCATGTGGAACTCAAGTAAGGAACATTTGGAGTGGCTTGTTAATTGATTTCTTTTTAAGTGCAGATAAGATGACCTCACTTATTTTATTTTTTCAATTTTTAACCCTCACTCAAGGATGTTTATTGATTTTAGAGAGAGACGGAAGGGTGGGGGTGGGGGCGGGGAGAGCCATCAGTCAGTTGCCTCCTGTACATGCCCTGACCAGGGATCGAACCCACAACCTTTTGTTTCACAGGACGATGCTCCAGCCAACTGGCCCACCCAGCCAGGGCAACCTTACTTATTTTAGACTCTTAGTATTGTTTGGGTTCTTTATAAACTTTTTGATCAATTTTCTGTCTTCGGCAGGCCTTAAATCACCCTGGCCAAGTGGTGAGTAATCAAATACATATTAAATTTTGATGAAAATGCTTTAAACTCTCAAACATCTTTTTAAATCACGTTACTTAAATGATGTGAAAATATATTAGTCTTTATTTTTTTAATGAAACACCAACCTGGAATCCTCAGGTCTGTGTGTTTATGTCAGAAACATTTATTGTCTTTGGAGAGGCAAGGAGCAAAGAACAAAGGGGGAAAAAAGAAACCCAAACTAGGTTCTACTCTCTCATAGCTCAGTCCCAGTTGA